AAATATTTAAAATATACATTGTGGTGAAAATATACATTGTGAAAGATCCCCTCCATCTAGTTAATTATGACCTTGATATTTTTGAAGAGGTATTTTGCAGAATATCTCTCAATGTGAGTTTATTTTTTCACAAACAAATGGAGGTTATGTAACTTTTGGCCACAGTGAGGTGCAGGATTAACTTTTAGTTCAACTGGCTATTTTTTTTTTTATTGCTGATTCCTGCTTTATATAGATGAATTAGAAAATGAACAAGATACTAATCTAGTCCAAGGTTGCAGTATTTACAAAATTACTTATTTGAAGGCCTAATTTTATTTGTATGATTCATCGCCAGTGAAATTTAGACTTTCATTTGTTTGCCTTCAGGATAAAAGTCTCTTAGCCTAGAAGTGGTGTGATAAGAACAGTGTTTTTATTTTAACTCTCAAAAAAAAGAAATTTAGATGAATTTTTTAAAATATAAATCACAAATCTGTGGCAAAGTTACCCTAGCCAAAATATAAAGTCAGAAAGAAAAAGTATTATTTATTATTTTAGTTTAATGTCTTTCAAGGCAAGAATTCTGTTTAGTTTCTTAGCAATTCCCCATAGAATGTAATAAGAGTTGCTAAATACTATATTTTAAAATGCTTTCAATTATTAAATGGTATTTTTTCCCCAGAAAGCTTCACCTGAATAATGCCACTGCACTGTAATTAACAACTCTCTTTATTCCAAATCTCTTTTCAGAGTGTATAATGGTCACTATCTACTGTGTTATCTTGTACTTACTCACTGTAACTGTTCTCATCTGTAAGCTTTTCCTTCCCAAAAGGCTTAATACCCTTGAAATTCTAGAAACCCTATTTCTTTCAGAAAAGTGCCTAGCACACAGAATTATGTGCATGTGAAAGCATTCAAACTCTCCTGAAAATTTAAAGAGCCAGGCTTTATCAGATATAAATGAGAAAATGTAGGTGGAAAAGATCTTCCCCCTTTCAAATTAATATGAAATTTCAGAAGCCTAGTGGTAAGAAACAAAATGAAAGTTTGTAATATTTTATTTTTATAGTTGTAAATTTGAGTTATTTTTCCAACAAAGATGGACAGTAAATGTTTTTTCCTTAAGACCAATAATAATTTTCAAATGTACTACCAAATTTTCCATAATCTTCAAAGTCAAATGTCACATCTTAATACATAAATGTATTAAATACTGAATAACCAAAAAAATGGTTGGAAATTTAAGATAACAGCATATATACTGAACTGAATTTATAACCTTTGTGAATAATAAAATATGCTGATATTTTGTTGATATGTCATAGTATATTTTTAAAAAGTTTTCTTCTAATGAATTTCAAAGAATCATCATTTTGAAAGATTACAATGCAAAAGTGTTTAACAGTTTAACAAATTTCCTGTTATTACTAACTAAAATTTTACCACTCAGTGTATTTGGTATATCCTTAAAGCTAGCAAAAAATATTATTATAATATTCTACAATGATATTCTAGAATCAACATATACACACAAAGGCATGATGAAAATCTACTCACACAAATAAATTATGTTCTTTATCAGACTTATTTAAATGATTGGCTCATATTAGGGTACTGCGAAGAAAAGGGAAGTATCCTGCTACATTTATCCTTTTTTTAAAAAAATGTGTTTTTTTAATTGATTTTAGAAAGAGTAAAGGAGGGGAGGTGGGTGGGGGAGAGGGAGTTAGAAAGGGAAAGAGGGAGAGACATAAAAGGAGGGAGGGAGGGAGGGAGGGAAGGAGGGAGGGAGGGAGGGAGGGAGGGAGGGAGGGAGGGAGGGAGGGAGGGAGGGAGGGAGGGAGGGAGGGAGGAAGGAAGGAAGGAAGGAAGGAAGGAAGGAAGGAAGGGAGGGATGGATTAATCAGTTGCCTCTTGCAAGTACACCTACTGGGTTCTACAATCTGGGTGTGTGCCCTGACTAAGAATCAAACTGATGACCCTTTGGTGCAGAGAACCACGCTTAACCATCTGAGCCAAACTGGTGAGGACTACATTTAACATTTTAATAGGGAGTAGAAATATAGATGACACATGAAATTCTAATTTTTACTGTAATAGAAACAAGATTCCAAGTACATGGGATCTAGAGATAAAACAGAGCTGACGAACTTGTACAGGATGAATTAATAAGTGGAAGAAAAAATGTTTTGAAAATAGATTGAAAAAGAGAGACAATCTACTTATATTTTTATTAATCACACTACATTTTTTCTCCTCAAAGCTCTTAGGATTTAGGGGTTTATTTTTCATACAGACAGTCCTCGGATTCAACGTATGTCATTTTGTGGTTACATCACCATCTCCCATTTGTTTATAAAAAAAAAACACCCAAATTCTGTCATTTCGATGTGTGCTTTAATGTTTTTTTTTTAATTATTTATTTACCACAAGTAAAGGTCAGAAAGAGTTATCTTTCTTTTAAATGTTTTTACTGTTTCACTTCATTACTGCTGTGTATGTGCTCCATGTGAGTGACGTAGGTGCTTATGTAGATGGGTTCCGACTTATGGCAAAAATCACGTTACATCGCGCTGTAGAAATGGATCTCCGACGTAACCTGAGGACCTACTATACATTAATAGTAAAAAAAAAACTATGAGGAGGGAGGGCATGTTTGGGAATGGGGGTGGGGATTGGTAAGGTATGTACACATATAATATCTTAATTAAAAATAAATAAATAAATAAATAAATAAATTGCAAAAAAAAAATAATTTGGGTGGATACACTGGGTTAGTTAAGGCAAGACTTAAGGAGAATTAATAGAAAGGGAAAAATCCAGAATTCAGCCTTTTCCAATATCAATAAAAAGATATAAAGGTCAGTTCTTCAAATACTATAAAGTAGGCTTTTGTGTTTATTTTGGAGTGGTGAAGAGAGGTTACAAAATACTTCAGGCACTAATAAAAGATCACAGATATGTAAAATTTACTATTTGTGCTATAACTGGGAAAGTATTATCTCTACATCAATCTGTAGGAATGTACATAGAACTTGCTCTGTAGACACTGAATTGCTCTTTATATACTGATATGTAAAAATCTTGATGGTGGCTCTAGCTTACATGAGTTAATTGGTTGGAACATTGTCCTGTACACCAAAAGGTGGTGGGTTTGATTCCTGGTCAGGGCACATACCTGGGTTGTGAGTTCAGTCAGGGTACCTAAGGGAGACAGATAACCAATGTTTCTCTCTCATATTCATGTCTTTCTCTTCCCCTTCCTCTCTCTCTCTCTTCCCCTTCCCTTCTCTCTCAAATCAATAAAAAAAATTAAAAACATTGACGTTGGATTTTACACTGAAATAAGTACATATTTGACTCTGCAGATTAGGAAAACGATATTTAAAATTTTTAGAGTATGTTATCTAGCACATAATAGACAACTATTATTATACACACTAGAGGCCTGATGCACAAAATTCGTGTACGGGGGGAAGGGGAGAGGGGGGGGTCGGTGGGTGTCCCTCAGCCCAGCCTACACACTCTCCAATCTGGGATCCCTCTCACAACCTAGGACTGCTGGATCCCAACCTCTCACTTGCCTGCCTGCCTGATTGCCCTAAACCACTTCTGCCTGACAGCCTGATCACCCCTAACCACTCCCCTGACAGCCTGATCAACACCTAACCACTCCCCTGCTGACCTGATTGCTCCTACATGCCCTCCCCTGCAGGCATGGTCACCCCCAACTGCCCTCCCCTGCAGACTTGTTTCCCCGGCAACTGCCCTTCCCTACAGGCCTGGTCTCCCCCAACTGCCCTCCTCTGCTGGCTCTGTCACTCCTTACTGCCCTCCCATGCAGGCCATTTTGTGTCCACATGGGGGCAGCCATCTTTGACCACATGGCCATCTTGTGTGTTGGAGTAATGGGCAATTTGCATATTACTCTTTTATTAGATAGGATTTGTTAGATTTAATTACCAATTTATTCAGAAGCCACAACTTTCCTCAATTATGAAAACTTTTAATCACCTAGATACAAAAGATATTTTAATTTGGTATAAGCTAAATTATAGTTGCCATGCCTGTGTGTGTGTGTGTGTGGTGTATGTGTGTATTTAGGGAGAGATAAGAGTAAAAAGTAGGACAGAGAAAAGACTTGAGATGTTTCTTATTACTTGTAAGAAAAAAAAATAAGCCAATTTAATGCTTGTTGTTTTGCCATTAATTTTTTTATATAAACTATAAACAACTATTTCCAATTACATTCATTTTTTCCAAAATGCATTCAGTGAATTACTTAATCAATTCTGCTTTGGAGATGTTTAAGAGGGAAAGGAAAAGAATCACTTAATTAACCAGATTTAACAGGGCTTGCCAAGAAACCTCCCAAATAAAGGCAAGCATGGATGAAGAAACACTTAAAAAAAGAGAGACGAATCTACAAATTCTAATCCACCTATACCGTTATACTTACCAGAATAGTTGATCCCACTGCCTGCAGTAAATGGAACAATAGAAGTATTTTTAAATGTATCACATATTTTGAATTTTACGCAAGTTTAGACATAACAAAACATAGTAATCTTGGCTATTATATAATTATTTTAAACTACTGCAAACATATTCAAGTGGTGAATGAGGAAATGGTTATTAATATGGAGACGTCTAAGATATACAAAATAAATTAATATTAACAAAACTGCTCTTTTGATATAACGACAGGGATCTTTTTTAAGTTCAATTTTCTTTAATAACTAAAAAGAATGAATTTAGAGAGCACATTATGACAACTTGTCATTTATAGTAAATCATGTTATGCCACTGAACATACACGGTAAGTAAAATAGAAACTGAGATAGTTAGAAATTTACAGACATTTTAAATTTTAAAATAATTATCAAATGTTTAAAATAATGAGACGTTTTATAAATTTGAATACTCCTAACTTACTTTGTCAAAACTAAAAATAACTCTAAACTTTATCAACAAGTTGATTTATATAATGTATTAAATATATTAATTGGTCTTACCATCTTTTCCATCTATGGATTTTGACACTTCCGTATCAAAACTTTCTTCTATTTGCTGACCTCTAAAACAGCTGAGATGTTCTTGCTCAATTAAATTACTTTCTTCTTCTTCTAACGGCTGCCAAGTACCATCAATAAACCACTGTCCACGCATTACTGGTATTTTATCAGCCTCTAAAAAGAGAAATCACAGGATTATACAACATTATAGGATCCTCTAACTTCTCATAAATTCCCAACAGAATTACAATTTTATGTTTTGCTACTTCTAAAACAGACTTTCATGACTAAAATTTTAAATTTCAGATTTTAAGCCACAAAATATAATTTTTTCAGCATATAATTTTACTTTCAATAAATATTAAACATAAAAGTTACTTTGGTATTGGAAAGGTAGATGAGAAGTTATCTATATAACTGAGGTCCTGAGTAACCAAATTAGGAGGATAAGGGGTTTAAGAATCCTATCTAATAAAGAGGGAATATGCAAACTGACTATCACACTGTCACAAAGATGGCAGCAACTATAGCCACAAGATGGCAGTGCCCAGCCCCCTCAGCCCTGCGGGACTGAGGGTAGGCGCAGGGTGCGGCTAGCCCCGCCCTCAGCCCCCCAGCCACGCAGGGCTGGCCAAAGGTGCAGGCAAGCTTCGGATCCGCCCAGGGCCACCTGAGGCTCAGGTAAACAGGGCCAGCTGAGGCTTGTGCTGCCAGCAGTGGCAGCAGCAGAGGTGTGATGGGGGGTGTCACCTTTTCCTGATCGCTATGTTGCCTCCTGCCACTGAGGGCTCCCAGGGGCAGGGTGGGCTGAGGGACCCCCACTCCAGTGCATGAATTTTGATGCACTGAGCCTATAGTATTGCTAGAAAATTCCCAGAGGTAGTGGTAGTGGCTGGTTTGGCTCAGTGGTTAAGTGACAACCTATGAACCAAGAGGTCATGGTTCAAATTCTCAATGGGGCAATGGTATTTCAGGTTTAGTCTCCAAGAAGGGGGGTGCAGGAGGCAGCTGATCAATGATTCTCTCTCATTGATGTTTTTATCTTTCTCTCCTTCCTTTCCTCTCTGAAAATACATTAAAACAAAACAAAAACTCCCAGAAGTAGTTTAGCAATAACGTGTGTGCACTTTCTAGAGCTACTGTGTAGGTTATAGGCTCACAGAATTACTAAATAACTGAAACCTTCAATTTTAGTAAGTGCCTCAATTTTTTAAAATAATTGAGAAAAACTTTTTTGAATAACTAAATAATTCTTTGATTAAATCACTGTTCCTATAAGCCTAAGACTTTCAGTTGCTATTTATTTAAATAAACAAATGTCAACTAAGCTATGTTGAATCCTTTAAAATTTTAAAAATAAAGCAAAAATAGAGAAACCAAGATGGCAGCAGAGGTGAACAAATGAACTTGCTGCCTTGCACAACTTCAAAACTACAACTAAAAGACAAAACGGACACCATCCAGAATCACAGGAAGGCTGGCTAAGTGGAAATTCTACAACTAGGAGGGAAGAGAAAAGCACCCTGAGACTCAGAGGAGCTGCAGAAGTAAAGTGCAGAGGTATGGAGGTGTACTCACGGAGAAGGCTGGCAACTGAGTACGTTGCTGGCTTTTTCAATCTGCAGGGAGACACAAGTTCCCGACTGCTCTGAACTCCAGTTCTGGGCAAGACTCCAGGGACCCAGACTCAAACGAGGAGAAACTGTACTGTCTGGCAGTGGGTGGAACTCAAGGGCAGCTTTCTCTCAGAGGTGCTTGCAGTGATTACCAAGGGACACTCTTAGAGCTGGGCTGACGGGAAGCCATTGCTGTCTGCTCTTCCCTGAGACTCCGCCCCATCCAAGTGCAGAGGCTTTTGCATATGAATAGCCTCATCCTTTAAAATCTAAACATAGCTAACAAACTGCAGCTGAGTCAGAGAGACCCATAACATCCAAAAGAAGGCCCAAGGCCCCACAGAAGCTTGCATTGCTTTATAGCTGGGCCTCATCTGAGCACCTCCAAAATCCAAACAAAGAGGAGGAATCTGCATATCTCTCTGTAGCTCCTGTTGAGTGGCCTCAGGCAGAGGCTAAATTAGCACCTCCTTGGAGATCCAAGAGCCAGTGCACCCAGGAATCAGAGTAGGACCATCCAGATTACAACTCCTCAGATCCCCTAAGGTAAACACTCAGGGGGCAGACTCAATGAGCACCAAAGCCCCACTGAAGCAAGTCTTGCCTCATAAGGGTGTCTCCAGCACAGAAGTTCTCCCATCATAGACACAGCTGATTCTCACAGCCAACTGGCCTGGAGGTGAATTCTGCCCACTGATACCAACAACAATTAAGGCTTAACTACAAGACTGTGCACATCCCACAAAGAGGTGCACCAAGAGTGTCCACCTCAGGTAACCGAGGAGGCTGAGCCACTGGGCCATATAGGAGGACACCTAGCACACAAAGCCACTCTAACAACTCAGAAGCAGCAAAAATGCGGAGACAAAGAAACAGATCACAAATGAAAGAAATGGAGGGAAGCAAATGACTGGATATAGAATTCAAAACCACAGCTATAAGGATTTTCAAGAATTTCCTAGAAAAGGCCGATAAATTTAGTGAGACCCTCGAAGATATGAAAAAGGACCAACTAGAATTAAGCATATACTAACTGAAATAAAAAATAATATACAGAGATCCAACAACACATTAGAAGATCACAAGAATCAAGTAAAAGATTTGAAATATGATGAAGCAAAAAAACACCCAACAGAAAAAGCAAAAAGAATTAAAAAAGTTGAAGATAGTGTAAGGAGCCTCTGAGACAACTTCAAGAGTAGGAACATCAGAATTATGGGGGTGCCAGAAAGAGAGAGAGAACAAGATACTGAAAACCTATTTGAAGAAATAATGACAGAAAACTTCCCCCCACCTGGTGAAAGATAAAGACTTACAAGTCCAGGAAGCACACAGAACCGCAAACAAAAGGAACCCAAAGAGGACCACACCAAGACACATCATAATTAAAATGCTAAGAGCAAAAGACAAAGAGAGAATCTTAAAAGTAGCAAGAGAAAAACAGTTGTTTACCTACAAGAGAGTACCCATACGAATGTCAGCTGATTTCTCAACAGAAACTATGCAAGCCAGAAGGGAGTGGTAAGAAATATTCAAAGTGATAAACAGCAAGAATCTACAACAAAAATTACTCTACCTAGCAAAGCTATCATTCAGAATTGAAGGGCAGATAAAGAGCTTCAGAGATAAGAAAAAGCTAAAGGAGTTCATCAATACCAATGCTGAAAGGTATCCTTTAAGAAGAGGAAGAAGAAGAAAAAGGTAAAGATAAAAATTATGAACAGCAAATACATATCTAACAAGTGAATCTAAAAATTAAGTGAATAAAAAATGTGATGAACAGAATAAACTGGTGAATATAGTAGAATCAGGGGCATAGAAAGGAAGTGGACTGACAATTCTCAGGGGGAAAGGGGTGTGGGCGGTACAGGAAGAGACTGGACAAAAATTGTAAACCTATGGAAGAGGATGAGCTAGTGGGGAGGGCAGAGTGTGGGAAGGGAATCAGGTGGAGAGGAGCTATGGGGGGAAGAAGAGGAACAATTGTAATAATCTGAACAATAAAGATTTATTAAAAAACAAAATTAAAGCAAAAAGAAAATGGAAATAACAAAGCCCTAAAAATCAAAAGCAAAATGAAATGAACTTAATTAAGTTGTGAGTTGATGATTTAATCACATATATAGAAATTATTTCAAATAAATTATTTCAAATAGTAATTTGTACATATATATTAGGTATTTGTCATGGATAAAAAATGCAAACATATTTTAAAACTTTTACAGTACCTACACTTCATAGTTGTTAATTTTATAATATTGGTATTGTTAATTTAAAACTGTAGGTTATGATAACTAAATTAACTTTGTTAATGAATCAGAAATCAAGACTCTTTTGCACTAGAAAAAAGATACAATGTAAAAGTAAAAAAAATAACTATAATTTTAAATTTCAATTAGAAATGTCACCATGAACTAATGATGCATTCTCTTTTAAAAATATCCTAAGCTTTGCCCACTTGATAAGGTCAAGAAACAAAGACCAATCCAGGAAAGTGAGTACTCCCAACATAAAGACTGTGATCTTTAAATATCATTTCCCACTAAAAGAAACCAAGAGTCCTTGAAGAAATGACTAATTTCAGGTGTAGGATGGGAAATTAACTAGATGGCCATGAAACATCTTATTGTAGCAGACTTGTACTGGGATATATTCAAAATCCATTATGTGTTTCTATTATATTTCTTCTTGCATTGTGCTATACGATTGACTCTCAAACAACATGGGTTTGAACTGCGAGGGCCCAATTACATACATAATTTTAAAAATATACATGTTTTATTGATTTTTAGAGAGAGAGGAAGGGAAAGGGATAAAGGAGTCACTGATGAGAGAGAAATGTCACCTATCAACTGCTTCCTGCACAGCCCATACCGGGGATTGAGCCTGCAACCCAGGCTTGTGCCCTGTGTGGGAATTGAACCACTGCCCTCTTCGTTCCCAGGTTGACGCTCAATCACTGAGCAACAGAAGCTGGGCATAATTTTTAAAAACTTTTTCTTAAAAAAAATGGTGGCAGAGTAAGTGAAGGCTGCATGGACATGCTCCCAGGAACAAATTGGTATTACAACTAAAATACAGAAAAACTTCCTGAATAATCAACAGAAAATCCGCAGGAGAGAACCCTATCACCCAAGGACGGAAAGTGAAGATCGCATAAAGACTGAAGAAACAGAAAATCAGAAAAAATATACAAACAAACATTTTCTTTAGCTTTTCATTATAAGAACACAAATATATAATATACATGAAATAGAAAACATGTGTTAATCAACTGTTATTAGTAAGGATTCTGATCAACAATAGGCTATTACTGTTAAACTTTGGAAGAATCAAATGTTATAGTACATGGATTTTTTAAAGTGTGGGGGTCAAGACCCCTAACCCCTGGGTTGTATAAGGATTAGTTGTATTCTAGTATAGCAATTCTGCTATGTTGATGTGTTTGCTATATTATTTGGTACATAAGGTATTAAAAAATGTATCACAACTTCATCGAGAATTATGGCTTTTAACGGTGAAAAGTATACCCTGGCCTGGCTGATGTGGCTTAGTTGG